GCCCTTTGTAAGAGTTCTTTTCATAAGAGTTGTAACACTCGTATCCTGCCCTGCAAGGAGGTTTGGTTCTTTGAGCTGTAAATAAAACCTCACTGTTCATTCTATGGTCTATCGATTTCATTCATCAAATCGTTGAGACCAAGAGCCTGGAAATCCAGTGTTAAAAATCTGGTATCAGTAGGGCGAGAATTGAAAACCATGGCTTTGGGTCTTACATTCCACATCATTCTCACCATTCCTTACTCCACTTTCCTCCTTTGTCTGAATCTCTTCCCAGTGGCTGGGTGAAGGGTGTTCATGCAGTGGTCAGGGCCTCAAGCTGAGGACTGGCTGAGCAGGGAGGATTATACTGGATTATAGGGTGGGGGAGACATTTTACCTTCTCAGCCTGGGTCCAGAGAAGACCAACTGAAAGAGGTCACTGAACACTGCCAGGAGCATGTGACATCTCATAGGTGGCTTTTGTCAGGTCTGCAGGCTTGGTGGAAAGAGGAGAATTAAGGGCCCACCATGAGGCTGTTAGTGTGGGAGTCTGCATTTTCCTGCATGGGGAGAAGTCAGACCAGAGAAGCCTGAGTTCCGAATGTTCTCTCAGGCAGTTGGCCTAACAGTTAATGGAGTGACTAGAACAAGGGGTCAGTGTCCTTGGTCTGTGTTTTCTGAAAGCAGAGCGATGCCTGATGGAGCTTGCTTGCTTCTGTTATAAAAATAATACCTGTTTATTATTATAAACTTGGAAAACCAGGATGATGAAATATCTAGAAATCAACCATTACACAAAACAACTACTGTTAATACTTGGATGTATTTTATTTTTGAATGTATTTTTCTAAGATATTTAGCTTTAGTTGGTTAAAAAAATATAATAGTAAGTTCATCCTATATCTCCACTGTTACCCTAGGCTGCTTTTTCTGTGCCTAGGATTTATTCATACTGAATATTCAATTTTGATATTTTCTTTTCTCACTTAACATTAAAACTAATTTTTTTTTGTTTGCATAAACCCTTTAATTGTTATTATCTGTGTAATATTCCATTGGTGAACATTG